ACACACACACACACACACACACACACACACACACACACACACACACACTTCATTCTTTTGAAATAGCAGATAAATGCAACTACTGCTTCTCCCAGGGGTAGACTCTCCAAATGGGCAACTCTCAAAACACTCAAAAAACTATTTATAGCATTTGGCTTCAGGCAAATTATCTCTGAAAATATAGTATTTTAGGGTATAAAATACTCTAAGATATTAGGCATTAATTGTGGGGTATAGGCTGGGCGCAGTGGCTCATGCCTGTAATCCCAGCACTTTGGGAGGCTGAGGCAGGTGGATCACTTGAGGTCAGGAATTCAAGACCAACCTGGCCAACATGGTGAAACCTCAACTCTACTAATACAAAAGTAGCCCAGCATGGTGGAGTACCCCTGTAATTCTAGCTACTCAGGAAGCTGAGGCAAGAGAATCGCTTGAATCTGGGAGGTGAAGATCGCAGTGAGCTAAGATTGCACCACTACACTCCAGCCTGGGTGACAGAGCAAGACTTCATCTCAAAAAAAAAAAAATCTGAAATATTTCAGAATGCAAATGTAGCAGCCTAAAAACTAGAGTCCATAGGTAAGCAATAAAAAAAGTCATGCGCATTTACATATGTATTTATATGTATATATTAGTCTCAAAAAAGCAGTTTAATTCTATATCCCCACATAAAATTATTGTTACCCTGGGTCTTTTGCTGTCTGATTTTGTCCACCAAGTAAATCTACATAAATCCTTAAGTAGTTCTGTTGTAGAGAGATCATCAAGTTTTCTTTAAAAAGTGGCAGATAAGTTAATTTTATCTGTTATCTTTAGATATAAAATATCTGGCCTCTTACTAAATAAGAAATGAGACCAGGTACAGTGGCTCACACCTGTAAACCCGCACCTTGGGAGGCCCAGGCGGGCAGATTATGAGGTCAAGAGATTGAGACCATCCTGGGCAACATGGTAAAATCCCGCCTCTACTAAAAATACAAAAATTAGCTGAGTATGGTGGTGCGTTTCGGTAGTCCCAGATGCTCGGGAGGCTGCAGCAGACGAATCATTTGAACCCGGGAGGCAGAGGTTGTAGTGAGCCAAGATCCCACCACTGCACCCCAGCCTGGCGACAGAGTGAGACTCCATCAAGAAAGAGAGAGAAAGAAAGGAAGGAAGGAGAGAGGCAAGGGAGAGAAAGGAAGGAAGGAAAGAGAAAGAGAGAGAAAGAGAGAAATGGTTGGCCAGGCATGGTGGTTAACGCCTGTAATCCTAGCACTTTGGGAGGCTGAGGCGGGTGGATCACCTAAGGTCAGTAGTTGGAGACCAGCCTAGACAACATGGTGAAAACCTGTCTCTCCTAAAAATATAAAAATTAGCCAGGCATGGTAGTGCACGCCTATAATCCCAGCTACTCTGGAAGCTAAGGAAGGAAAATCGCTTGAACCCAGGAGGTTCAAGATTGTGCCACTGCATTCTTCCAGCCTGCATGACAGGAGCGAGACTCCATCTCCAAAAAAAAAAAAAAAAAAACATAACAGGCATACTTTTTTTTGAAACAGAGTTTCACCCTTAGCTCAGCTACAGTACAATGGCATGATCTCAGCTCACTGAAACCTCCGCCTCCCAGGTTCAAGCGATTCTCCTGCCTCAGCCTCCCAATTAGCTGGGATTATAGGCATGTGCCACCATGCCCAGCTAATTTTGTATTTTTAGTAGAGACAGGGTTTCTCCATGTTGGTCAGGCTTGTCTCGAACTCCCAAACTTAGGTGATCCACTTGTCTTGGCCTCCCAAAGTGCTGGGATTGCAGGCATGAGCCATCTCGCCCGGCCTACTTAATTTTGTTTTTAAAGAAGATTTCTTTCTTTCTTTTTCTTTCTTTCTTTCTTTCTTTTTTTAAGAGATAGGGTCTTACTCTGTTGCCCAAGCTGGAGTGCAGTGGTGTGATTACAGCTCACTGCAGTCTTGAACTTCTGAATTCAAGAGATCCTCCTCCTTCAGGGTCATCCTCCCAGAGAGCTGGGACTAGAGGAGAACAGCACTGCAGTGGCAATTAATTGTTTTATTTAATTATTTTTTACAGACAGGATCTCACTTTTTTTGCCCAGACTGGTCTCAAACTCCTGGGCTCCAGCAAATCTCCTGCCTTGGTCTCCCAAAGTACTGGGATTATAGGCATGAACCACTGTGCCTGGCTTTAAAGGAAAATATGTCAATTCAGATGTAAGAGCATACACAAGAAAGGCACAAAAGTCTTTTTTTGAGGTCATCTTATCTGTTTTAGGTATAAATCTGTCATCCTTTCATATTCTCTGCTGAAACATCCAGAATAAGAATCAGAAGGAAGTATTATTCTCCATTCCTACGATTGTTCAGTTTTAGAATTTTAAAAATAAACCGCAAACCCAACAATACTAATGTTCCCTTAATTTCACTATGCTTTGGAAAATGAACATTGTATGTCCACAAACTCATTGCTGTAAGAAGAATCATTCCTTCCTGACAAATTTAAAACTCCTTTTATCATGTTCATTTTGGAAGAGTATCTGTCTATAAAGCAGTCCTTGGAAAAAAAATTAAAAACAGAAAAAGAAATAAAAGTAAACAAGACAACATGTGCATGCTGCAACCACTCAGCTTTGTTTTATCTAAGTGTCCATTTTTATATTGCTTTCAGTTCATTTCTTTTTAATCATTTAAAACAGCTGTGTTTACTAAGCTTGAAAAGAAATAGGTCAAACTAAAAGCTTAATAATCATGACTGCTTCTAATAGCAGTCAAACAAGTTAAAGAGCTGTATCCATTGCACTCTGTTTTTTCGTTTGTTCATTTGACAGAGATGGAGTCTTGCTCTGTCACCAGGCTGGAGTGCTATGGTGCTGTCTCCGCCCACTGCAACCTCCACCTCCCGGGTTCAAGCGATTCTCCTGCCTCAGCCTCCTGAGTAGCTGGGATTACAAGTGCCTGCCACTATGCTCAGCTAATGTTTGTATTTTTAGTAGAGACGAGGTTTCACCATGTTGGCCAGGCTGGTCTTGAACTCCTGACCTCATGATCCACCCATCTAAGCCCCCCAAAGCACTGGGAATACAGGCATGAGCCACCGCACCCAGCCCATTGAATGACACTTGTCAGTTTGTCAAAAGAGCTTTGATTATTTACATAATGACAGCAAACAAAGAATGTATTTATTAAATAGACAGTGTATAATATGTTTTTAGGTCTTTATGCAAATTGTTTTTCCTAATTCCTAAATTACATTTCCAAAAAGATATGATACTTTTTATAGTTAAATCTTACTAAAATGTAGCTTAAGAATGGTTAATGACTCTAGTGAATGTTTTTATTTTTTGTTCTAATGACTCCTATATTTTAGCGATAATCCTAACTTTTATTCACAAAATCAAATTCCCTCAAAAATATCTAAAAATGTTATACATACTTTTCTCTCATTTTCATTTGCTTTGGGGTACCTCCTTATTTTTTAGGTTTATCAGAGCTTATTGCTAATGCTTATTACTACTATCAAAATATTCCTTTTTTTCCCTCTTAGCCCCAGCCAATCTTTCGTAAAATGAACCTAATGTAATTGCTTATTTCATATTTACAAATACTTTGGTCAAAAGAATGTTTATTTCAGTGGTGCTGCTAAATAATGCACCAGAATCCAGTTTAAACCAAGAAGTAATTTATTTTCTTTATTAAAGTGTAATAAACTAATGAAAGGTTTTTTTGAGGTTTTGTTTTGTTTTTGAGAGAGGGTCTCCCTCTGTCACCCAGGCTGGAGTGCAATGGTGTGATCATAGCTCATTACAACCTTGAACTCCTGGGCTCAAATGATCTTCCTGCCTCACGCTCCAGAATAGCTAGGACCACAGGTGCTTACCACCACATGGCTAATTTTCTGTAGAGATGGGGTCTCGCTTTGTTGTCCAGGCTGGTCTTAAACCCCTAGGCTCAAGCGATCTTCCTGCCTTGGCTTCCCAAAATGCTGGGATTACAGGCATAAGCCACCATGCTTGGACTTTTTAGTTTTTTAAGATTGTTTTAAACATCCCCTGGGAACCCTAATTTTTGTTACTGTATATTAATAAAATACTGTGGTAGAATATGCATTTTCCTAAGTTATTTTTGTTTTCCAAAATAAAAATTATGTTTAAAAAGTTAAAATAGAGACTTCAAAAGCCTTGTACATTTTCATCATGTAGACTCTGTGAACCACCAATAGCCTTCATTTTAAAGGTTTACCTTTACAATTTAACTAGGAAAATTGATCCCTGCATAAGTAATCCTAATCAGTTCCTGTTTTTATAGGACTATAACAATCCAAGCTTTAGAAGTATATGTTCCTCATCATTGTCTTCAGTGCTTTTCCCAGTATTTTAAAATATCAAAGTACATATTTCATATTTCATTATCACTCAGCAGCATGACAATAATAGCCTTAATATAGCACACATAGCTAAAACTCAAACATTCATTTCTGTCCTTAATTTCAACATTTAACTCCCATCTGTTCTTCTCCCTTTTTTCTTTCATTTCCCTGTTTCTGTTTTTCCTCATGCTCTGACATTAAAGTGGTTGCACTGAAAAGACTGCCCTTTTTGAGGAACAGACCGAAGGATAAAGACAAAATGAAGGCCTGCTACCGTCGTTCCATGTGTAAGACTTTATGACAGTTCAGCTTCTTTCAAATGACTACACTGGCTTTCATTACTAATTTTTCACTAACCTTTCTCTGGACTGCGCCAATTTCCTTATTTTGCAGAGGTCAGTCTTCCTCTAATATAAGGAGCTGGAAGAATTTTTTTTCAAGTGGCACTGAATTTGCATTATGTGTATGTTCACTGATACATACACATGCATATGTCTAGTGATACATGTAATGTACTCATAAATTTCCAGTGCTTTCTAAAAATTGGCAGGAACAAAACCCTTTATTTTATATGCCATAGAGATTTTTTCCCCAAAAAAGTTTACTTAAGGAGCATATAACAAAATGTTTAGCATTAGAAATTAATTTCCTTTAATGAACCAGATTAATTAAATAAATAAAATGGCCAATAACCCTTGAAAATACTTGTCATTCTTTAAATAATAATATTCTGGATTTTCTTTTTTTATGTGGCATGGGTAGTTACATAATCACATTAAATGTCTGTCACTTTGGATATCATCTCTTTCAGGTTTTTATTGAATGGTATACTTATTGAGTCATTAAAATGAGTAATTTCTTCAGTAACCTGCTCTGACCAAGGACTTTCATTTTCAATAATTATGCTACATAAGAATTGCTCTCCATCTTACCTTTATTCATTCCATTTTTGTCACCACAAAACCACATTGTAAAGGCTTCTAATTGAAGTGCACATTCCCTGCACAAAAGCATGGCAGTTGTACATAGTAAAATTCCTTTCTCTGTCTTTTAAAGGGGGTGGAGGTGGGATAAAAGTATTTATTGAAATTTATCAGCCTTTGGTCTACTCATTTCATTTAGCTGAATGCATGTCATAATTTCAATGACCATATGGTTGTAGTTTTTGATGTTTATTTGCATTAATTCATAGACAAAAACCAGCATATTTATACTACAAAATAGAAATACGAACAAATACATTAACCATGCTGATTCATTTGCTTCCATTTGCATCCCAGCCATGAATGACCTGGTGCAGTCCATGGTCCTAGCAGGACAGTGGACAGGTAGTACTGAGAATTTGGAGGTTCCTGATGATATTTCAACGGGTAAAAGGAGAAAAGAATTGGGAGCTATGGCCTTCTCTACTACAGCCATCAACTTTTCAACTGTCAACTCTTCTGCAAGCTTCAGATCCAAGCAGTTGGTTAATAATAAAGGTATAGGCCGTCTGCTATTTGCACTGTGGTGTAACTGTTAGCAACAAGAATTTTAATTTGACTTTTCTCTGTGTACTTTTTAAAAAGCAACAACCTGAAATAATTATCAAAACATGATCTGTATTTGATTTGGAGGAACTTTCAAATCATTTCAAAAATCTAAAACATTATACAAATAACTAAAATCTTTTCCAGGCCTCCTTTCATAATAAACAGCTAATGAATTAACAAGAAAAGGAGAAGTAAAACAGGTAAAGAGTGATAAAAGAAGGCAATGTTAGTTTTCTAAAAATTAAAAGCACTACACCTTCCAACAGAACTACCTAGAACAACCCAGGCTCTTGCTTTGGTTGCAGGGTCAGAGGGGAGATTGTTTCATTGCTTCTGGTGTTTTCCCTAAGCAAGTCAACTCTCATTAGAGTTGACATTTTTCTTATTCCTGGTTCCAGTTTCTGGTTGAGTCTATGAAATATGTTAAGTCAAGCTGTGTTATACATGACTGAAAAACAATTTCCATGTTCTGTGTAAATAAAATTTTATAATTTTTTATTACAAAAATATCTTTATATCCATTTTGCTATTTTATGTAGATACTACATCCTTTGAAGACATAAGTCCACAAGGTGTTAGTGATGATTCTAGCACGGGATCAAGAGTTCATGGTAAGATAATGAACTTTATTTAAAGAGTACACATTAAATACAGAATGGGGATTCTAGTACTCTTGCATTTAATAGGTGAATATGGCATTGCCAGCAAGCATGTTTTCTCTGTCCTGCATCTCATAGTTACCTCTACTGTTTCTTCAAAACTGATACTCCTTTTTGCCTCTTTTAAGATAATTGCTTCATCTAAATGTTCTCTATTTTAGCCGAGGTCATTTATAAAGTATGCCTGCACAGTCCTCCAAGGTAATTTTGTTGCCATTTTTGTAGAAGGTTAAAGTTATAAGAGTTGCATTTTACCATTGTTTTAAAATGCCAATTTAAAATACATATTAGTTTAAAATATTAAAAATTTGTTTTAAAGGATGTGAACTTCAAGAAACCAATTTTTGGGCCAGGTGCAGTGGCTCACACCTGTAATCCCAGCACTTTGGGAGGCTGAGGTGGGCAGATCACCTGAGGTTAGGAGTTCAAGACTAGCCTGGCCAGCATGGAGAAACCCCATCGCTACTAAAAATACAAAAATTAGCTGGGCATGGTGGCTGGGCATGTAATCTCAGCTACTTGGGAGGCTGAGGCAGGAGAATCGCTTGAACCCAGGAAGCAGAGGTTGCAGTGAGCCAAGATCATGCCACTGCGTTCCAGTCTGGGCAACAGAGCAAGACTCTGACTCAAAAGAAGCCAATTTTGGGGCAGTGTTGAGTATTTCAGATTTTTCAGTTTCTGTCTGGAAAATCATGTCTCACCAAACTATTAGCAATAAGTGAGTAACACGTTAAAGGAATTTTAAATGTAAGCAGGGTTTTAAGAGTTAGCATAGGGCAGTGTTAACTACAGTTGTTTTCCTTGTTATGGATAGGAATACAGGACATTAACTGTATAAATGCTTATATTCCTCCTCTTCATGGCATCTTTGCAATGTACAGAGTTCTTTGTCTGATCTGTTGTAAGTGAACCAATCAGTAGCATTTCATGGGATCTGAGGAGATATGTCATTCTATTCAACTAAAATACTCCTGGCATATCCATCCAGAACTCATTTTAAATCTAAATATGCACTTTCTCTCTCTCTGAATCTGAACTATTGTTTCAGAAGTGCCCTGCTCTAAAGTGTCTCGATGAATTATCTGGAAATTTGCTTTCTAATCTGTGGGCATGCTCAGCCTGTGAAAGTATGCATGATTGCTTCCTCAAAGCATTCTGTAATCAGAATGTAAAAGCTCATCAGCATCATCAGCTAGAAGTTTTATCACACTGTCTCCTGATTTTTTCATTTAGCTTCAAGACCAGCCAGCCTTGATAGTGGCAGAACATCCACTAGCAATAGCAATAATAATGCTTCCCTACATGAAGTCAAAGGTATGCTGTAGGTTAATTTATTAATGCACTCCATCCATTTCCAGTATTTTAAGGTGGGAGATGGGATGAAGTTCCTGGGGTAAAGTATGAAATCCAAATCATCTATGTTTGGAATATTTTATACTTTTCACATTGTAATACAAATGTATTTCAATGTATACAAATGTAAAAACAGGAGCAGTTATTTGGTTTCAGTTTTCAGTCTTCACAGACAAAAGTCTTACGTAATATTTATACTTCAGAGTCATCTATACGTCCTTATTTTACTGACATTTTGTCTGACGTGAAAATGGTTGTCCTTCATTTTCTCATAATGCATGGACATTGAACTCACATTATTCATATTTTAGAAATATGTTTGGCTTCATTTATCCACAAAATAAGGGTAAGGATTTTGTGTTTAATTTGAGAAGCAACTGTTTGTGTGTGTGTATATATATATAGAATAAGAACTATATAAATGCATTTGGCTCATAAAAATAATTATTTCACGAATATTTTCTTAATTTTTAAATATGCATTCCAAGGTGGGGTATTTAAGTAAATGTCTGGAAACCTTGACTGATACCTTTTCCTCAAAGATATACTGTCTACACAGATTCTGGAAGTGGTTTGTTTGTTTATTTTGAGATGGAGTCTTGCTCTGTTGCCCAGGCTGGAGTGCAGTGGTGTGATCTCCTCTCACTGCAACCTCCACCTCCAAGGTTCAAGCCATTCTCCTCCCTCAGCCTCCTGAATAGCTGGCACTGCAGGCACCAACCACCACCACCCCTAGCTAATTATTTTGTATTTTTAGTGTACACGGGGTTTCACCATGTTGGCCAGGCTGGTCTTGAATTCCTGACCTCAGGTGATCCACCTGCCTCAACCTCCCAAAGTGCTGGGATTACAGGTGAGAGCCACGATGCCTGGCCTGGAAGGTTGTTTTTTGAGACAGGTTCTTGCTGTGTTACCTAGGCTGGAGTGCAGTGGTGCTATCTCAACTCATTGCAACTTCTGCCTCCCTTCTGCATCAAGTGATCCTACCACCTCAGCCTCCCGAGTAACTGAGACTACAGAGGCCCACGCCACCATGCCTGGCTGGTTTTTTGTATTTTTAATAGAGACAAGGTCGCTAACCTGTTGCCCAGGCTGGTCTCGAACTCCTGAGCTCAAGTGAGCCACCTCATCTAGCCTCTGAATTATTTAACCAATATACCGTCGTTATTCTCTATACTCCAGAATTGTCAGATTACAAGGTGTCTCAGTTGTAATTTTATTTAATTAATGCTATGACATTGTTACAGTGATCTGAAATACCTAATTTTGAGGTGGGATTTTTTTTTTTTTAATTTTTATCGTCATGTTTTTCAGATGTCTTTGTTCCTTGTCCAATCCCACTACTTCACTTGACTAGCCTTAAAAGAAATTAATTAATTAATTAAAAATGCTTTTGTATCCAGGAGAAAAAATGTAGTCTGAAAAGATTTTTTTTTCTGATTTGAAAATTTAAAAAACTCTTAATTTTGTAAACATGTTAGGTAACTTGAGCCAAATTCTTTCATGGCCCACTTTACTCTGTGACTGGGAAACCATGGAAAGTTGCATCTTCTGCTTTGATATACTATGCAGTTTGTTAGTGATCAAAACAAATCAGTACTCTTAAGGAACACCATAGATTTGAAGGAGTTTAATTCTAGAACCAGCTAATTTGCATTTTATATAGTTCCTTAATGTCAACTGAGTCTTTTAAGGTTATATAGGCACCATATCAACAGTGGACAGCAGGAACAATAAGATGATCAAGACATTTAAAAAAGAATTAAGCACTACATATTTGATTTTATACTTTTACTGAAATATTGTAAGTAATTGCTTCATGTCTCTATTTGACTTTACTTATATGTATGATATTTAAATTTTTTAAATGTTTAAAGTTATTCATGTAGGATGAACAGAGAAGTAGTAGTAATGAGGACTACTACCTCAAGTAGTAATGAGGACTTCTTGGAGAAGCAAAGAATTAAAATAGAATTTTCTGCACTTAGAAGTTTTTGGTCTTAACATACCGAAATAATATAAAATTCACCTAATGAGCCAGGCGCTGTGGCTCACGCCTATAATCCCAGCACTTTGGGAGACTGAGGCGGGCAGATCACTTGAGGTAAGGAGTTCGAGACCAGCCTGGCCAACATGGTGAAACTCTGTTTCTACTAAAAGTACAAAAATTAGCTGAGCATGGTAGTGCATGCCTGTAATCCCAGCTACTCGGGAGGCAGAGACAAGAGAATTGCTTGAACCCAGGAGGCGGAGGTTGCAGTGAGCAGAAATTGTGCCACTGCATTCTGGCCTGGGCGACAGTGCGAGACTCTGTCTCAAAAAAATAAAAATCATCTAATCATGTTCTTGTACTAAATTGTGAGGCATTTTATTTTATTTTATTTTACTTTTGGAGATGTAGTCTTGCTCTGTCGTCCAAGCCAGAGTACAGTGGCGTGATCTTAGCTTACTGCAACCTCTGCCTTCTGGGTTCAAGTGATTCTCCTGCCTCAGCCTCCTGAGTAGCTGGGACTACAGGCATGCACCATCACACCAGGCTAATTTTTTGTATTTTTAGAAGAGACAGGGTTTCACCATATTGCCCAGGCCGGTCTCAAACTCCTGACCTCAAGTGATCCGCCTGTCTTGGCCTCCCAAAGTGCTGGGATTACAAGCATGAGCCACCGTACCCAGCCTGTGAAGCATTTTATAACTATTTGAACCTAAATTTTAAGAAATGTATTATTCACCCATTTATTTATTAATTCATTTACTCATCAAATGTAGTGAATGCTTTGTATGAAGCTCTGTTAAGGCTCTGAGTGTGGTGGTAAAAGCAAGTCTTTGCCCTTGTGGAGCTTACAAGAGTTGTCAGTTTGACAAAACAAGGAAGCAGGCTATGGCAGACAATTGTTAGAGTGATAAAAGATTGACATGGTTTACTATGCATTTCTAAATAAAGCGTGAAAGGAAATTTGGCTGTTCCTATAATTAGGACACAGTTAACAAATGTTATTACTCATAATGTATTAATTTCATTTCTATTATTGAAATCTCAACACCCCATTTACTCCAAAAGCAGGTGCAGTTAATAACCAAAGCAGGCCACAAAGCCACAGCAGTGGAGAATTTAGCCTGCTTCATGATCATGAGGCTTGGTCCAGCAGTGGTAGCAGTCCAATCCAGTACTTGAAAAGACAGACCAGATCAAGTCCAGTGCTCCAACACAAAATACCTGAAACACTAGAGAGTCGACATCATAAGATCAAAACTGGTTCCCCAGGGAGTGAAGTTGTTACTCTACAACAGTTTTTGGAAGAAAGCAATAAGCTTACCTCAATACAGGTTAGTTTTATCTATGATAACCTTAATTTAGATGAACACCACAAGTTTCTATAATTGAACTTCAGAACTTTTTTTTTTTTTTAAGTTGAGGAGTGTCAAGAGATACCCACAATTTTATATTGCACAGGCTAGTAAATCAGAAAAGTAGAAACATGGCACTGTATTCACTAATCTGCTTTGAATTTTTTTTTAAACAGATCAAGTCCTCAAGTCAAGAGAATCTTTTAGATGAAGTAATGAAAAGTTTGTCTGTCTCTTCTGACTTTTTGGGAAAAGACAAACCAGTTAGCTGTGGTCTGGCCAGGTCAGTAAGTGGAAAAACCCCAGGGGACTTCTATGATAGACGGACAACTAAGTCTGAGTTTTTGAGACCCGGTCCTCGAAAAACTGAAGATACCTACTTCATTAGTTCTGCAGGAAAACCTACACCAGGCACTCAAGGAAAGATAAAATTAGTAAAAGAATCTTCTCTGTCACGACAATCAAAAGATAGTAACCCTTATGCCACTTTACCTCGTGCAAGCAGCGTGATCTCTACTGCTGAAGGAACTACACGAAGGACAAGCATCCATGATTTTTTGACAAAGGACAGTAGACTGCCTGTATCAGTTGATTCACCACCAGCTGCTGCTGACAGCAACACCACTGCAGCATCTAGTGAGTACCATTTACACCAGTGGTCCTGTCATATACTTGACAGCCCAACACATACTATAGGTTCTTATTCCCAAAATGATTTAGCTACAGACATGCCTGAGCCTCTATATGCCCAGGCTAGAAACTCAAGAATGGAAAGGTCACATTTTCTAAACCAAACTTTTGCCACTATTAATATGCCAAATGATGCATTTGAAATATTGGCAAAAGATAGCATAGGATCATTTACTGTGGCTTATTCGTCTCAGCCATTTTTATCCCTGAATACAGAATTAGTTAGTAACATAAGTGGGTTACCTCCTAGGCCAGTCACCAGAATAACTGACCAGGCTTCTGCCTCTTTGGATAAACCTGCACAGAGAGATAATAAACATTTTTCTGATCATCAGAACCCTAGTAACAGTAACCTACAGTTTTCTATAAATAGCAATAATCTTATCACTCCTGCATGCCTCTATCCTGATGACACAGAAGCCGAATTGTTGGTTTCTGAGGATAATCAAACTGTTTGGTATGAATATGGTTGTATATGATCAAAAGTGCACAATATAATATGTTGATGTTATTTGATATATACTGCTCTAATATGATTTGAAAAGTTGCTGTTAACAAAATAGCATTCGGTTAGGTTTATCTTTTTTATTTAAAATTGTTGCATAGTGTTCAGCTATACATGATGGCATGTATATTAATGTGAATGTGTAACCACACCAAAGCCTGCATGAAGTATTAATTGCTTTGTCCATTTCCTGCATGCTTTTAAAAACCTTAACCATACATGCTCCTCCTTCACCTTTTTGTTGCCTGATAAGATTGTTACTTTGATATACAGAAGCATGTTAAAACAGTTGCATGCTTTCTTACCAAGAAGACATTTCTAAGTCATGTTTGCTTTGTTGCTTCTGGAAAAAAAATGCTCATTTCCTCCCTCCCTTCCTCCTCTTCCCACCCCTCACTTGCTCTTCCTCTCACTCCTTTCTTTTTTTCTTCCAGAATGTGTACTTTATATTGCACATGTACAGTATCAGTAGGAAAAATGTAAAATTACGTCATTTTCTTTTGCCATTTACTTAGGCCACCTGTCCTGTTTTATTTTTAAAGAAATAGTTAATAAAGCAATACTTTATATAGCAAATATTAACACCCATATTTATTAAACATTTTTCAGATTTAAAAGATTGTTAATACTCATAAACTTAGTGTTATTCATAGAAAACCCCATCAAATTTAAATGTGATTTACACAGTGACTAGGAACATTTGTACTTATTGTTTCTTCTCTGCACTTTTAATCATCTGATAAATATGAGAGCTCAAGTAACTGTCTTTTCTTCAAGATGACTTCTATACTTGAAATCAGTTAATACAATAGTTTTTCCAGTTCCTTTTTTATATAGAGTCAAAGAGAAATAAACCAAATTATATTCATTGTGTTGGAAATTTGTATTTTTACTTCTAATCAAAAAGGGTAGCAAGTTTACAAAGTGGTAAAAGATTGTTACTTCTATAATTAATCCATTATTAAATTATACATGTATGTCCTTAAAACAGAATTTTTAATAATGAATAATTGTACTAAAATGAAAAATTAGAATTTGTAACCATTTAAACAAGTGTCTTTCTAGTAGAACAGAGTTTAGAACTAAGAATAAATACAAACTCTTTAGCTAAAAAAAAAAAAAAATTGTTAACTTTGACTCTAGTGCAAAAAACTTTTATTTTTGTGTTCATAGTACTTTTAAAGCTGATTAGCTAAATTTGAATCTCTGAACTCCCAGAATGCTAAAAACAAAAACACCCATAACGCTGATCCGTTTACTTTGAGAGGAATACATCTTAGCGCTCTCTCTGAAGCGTTTTTGCCATTTTGATTTAGCCTAAATATTACTGATAATGACGCAGCCTGGCACCTGGAAGGAATGCCTTGAAATGTGACCATGTGGGGATGAAATTATGTTACACTTGTTGTTACTGTATTAAGTTGTTATTAACTGGGCCAAAGAAAAAAATCTATAGAGAATATTTGCCTAGTGAAATTTGTCTCCTTTATAATCATACTTTTTTTTCCTTATAGCTATTACCAAAAAAAAAAGAAAAATGGTTCTGGTGCAGGTAATCAAATGAACACAATCAGAAGATTTTCATATTTTAGTACTACCTAATGTACTTTTTGCATCTTCTGTTTTATTGTTAATTACTGCGCAGTCAGTCCTAACATTTCAAATATATTTGGTGCTAATATTTTCCCTTTTGTTTTTTCATGAGCCAGTAATAAAACTTAATGGTAAATATAGTTGAGATTAAATGAGGGCAATATATGATGCAAATGTTATAATTAGTGTTATTTCTTTTCCATATTAAGTCAAAGATTATTTTACAGCTATTTCAACTATTTAGATATCATAAATCTGACCATAACACTTTAAAATATTATTCATTCAAAATTCATTGAGAAGTTACATGCTATTATATTAAAAACCATGTGATTATTTTACAAAATTAGACTTATAGGAAAGAACTATTTCCTACCCCAATGGCTATACATATATAGGCAGCATGTTTTTTTGTTTGTTTTTAAATACACTGTGCCTGTAAGACAAATATATACCATGCCCATGAGTCCTGAGGACTGTTGGAAAATACAGTCTAGACTTTAGAAATTATCACCTGCTGTGGAGACATAAAATTCCCTCATAACACTTTCTGTAAGTGAAATCTTACATAGATGCCCCAAATTAAAAAAAAAACTAATTTCATTTGAAGTAAAACAACTCTGACTCAATCGAGCAGTTGCATTTATTTCCTCTAAGACACCTCCATAAATAGCCTACAGTTTCCCAAAGGATTCTTTGTAAAACTATTCAAATATTCAGTACCGTAATTTTATAAATGATGAAGCTGGAGCTTTCAATATTCCTGGTTTAGGTTTCTGGAAATTATACCCATTGATTTGTGTGACATAAACATATTCTTATGCACTGCATCCCCTTTGACCAAAGCAATTTTAGCTATAACCAATGTAAGGAGGGACATTATTTGCCTATAAAATATGTATCAAACCCTCGTTTTCTTAGTAAATAATACAAATATTTCATTCCAGATGGTTTTGCTACTGCATGCAAGATTATGTTTACTTTAAAACTGTATGGTGACCATTTAGTAAATAAACATAGTAAGTAATGCTATCTGGCACTAAGGGGGTAAAATGTAATTGTTACAGTTTTTTTTTTTTTTTTTAATTGTAGCTTTCCTAGGAATATTACTTACAGCTTTAAAATATAAAAATCAATCTTTAAGTATTGAGATGCCTGTGAGATTAATATTTTTCCCAGACAGTTACAGATTCCTTCTCCTTGCCCTACTCAGTGAGAGTGCATTTCTTGTCTTCTGAATTGTATTTTGTTCAGTCTTTGACTAAATAACATGAAATGCTTTTCTCCTGCAGATGTGGACAAAGTACAAGAAAGCAGAAATTCAAAAATCAGGTCTAGGGAGCAACAAAGCTCCTAATTCTGTTACCCACTACATGACATGTGGGCCAAGTGGTGAGTTTCCTGCTTAAAATGTAAATGAGATTAGTCTCATTTATACAAACTAACCAAATTAAGTATGAAACAAGTGCATATTGCATTAACAGATGTAAATATTGCTTGCTTAATTCATTGACTTTCTGTCCTACTTACTAGTGAAGCAATATTAGTTGGCTGCCATAGGTTTTTACTTAGCACAGGGAAAAAGTATTTTTTTTATTATTATTTTTTTCCCTCACTTTACATATAATTTTACTAGTGAATTATGTTCTCGGAATTACTTTTTTGGTTTGAATTCTTCTGTGATAGGAATACAACTTCCCACAGTTTTCTTGAAAATTGATGAGAATAAACTAAATACCTTTTCTATGATAAACTCCACTCAAAAATTATCTCTGATTTTCTGTCATTCTCATTCTTATAGAAATATCTGGTGCATGCTGTTCTTATAGTGGCTGCTCTGTATTTTGTATCTCTTATCTTCAAGCTTTTCTTATATTTTCTTTCTTCTTTCTACCTTCCAACTAAATACAGAGAGAAAAGTGTCCTTCAGTTTCTCAGTATGAAGCCTTTATTTCTGAAGTAACAAGACACCTAGCAACTATAGGAATCATTTTTAAAAATCTTTAAGGAGACTTTTAACAGTCCTTCGTGAATAGAGCAGGCAAGAAATACAAACCTTCATTCCTTGAATCAAGGAGCACTACTGGATTCAACTGCCAAAATTTTTAAAAGATTTTAGGACTTACTGTACCTTGTACTGTTAAGATCTACTGAATAAAGGACGATCTCTCGCTAAGGACCAAGTGTTTTAAAGTTAAGTGTTTAAAGAAGTACTCCAGGAACAATCTGCTCTTTTCATCATTTGTTTTATGAATTTATCCATGTTTGCTTAATGCTTCTGCTAAGTATTAGCCAAAATCTAGCCATTTATATTTAGTTGTGTAAATCTAAATTAAATGCTGTAGTATTTTGTGGAATGTACTATATAGCAAGATAAAGAGAGAATTGTTTTGGCATGTCAGAGCCTTATTTAGTTAGCAGACTGCATGTGTTGGTACTTTTTTTTTTTCCTTAAAGCCAATTATTTTGATGCAAAACAAATTCAGTTTATAAGATAAATCTGAAAAATCCATAATGAAATAGGAGTTATAAAAAATTTATAAGGATATTAACCTTTCTACATTCCCCATTAAGCAACACTAAGCATGCATACATTAATCCAAGGTAAAGAGTGTTTTTCTGAAACTTTTTTAGTAAGATGGTTTTCCAGCAAATGGCATTCCTAGGATAAAGCTATTGTGCTTTAACTCATTTCTTTTCTTTGGTATTGGGTTGTGTATGTGTGTGTATTTTTTTAACCTGAGAGCTGACTATTGCTTAAGAAGTTTTCTTATGGCAAAAATAGTGTAAATAACTTACTATGATCTGCATTTTGCCAGAAACTCATTTATAATTAAGGCTATCATTTATTAATAACTTTTTGTTTTTCTCCTTTATAATCTTACATTAAAGTTGATAACTATTATTGGTACTTTTGAAATTTTTGTATGCATTTGTTACCTTTAAACATTTGGAAGAAGCACAAAAAGATTTAGTTAATCTAGGGAAACATCAATTTTTTTAGTATTTCCAATTTTATATCACAGTTTTATTTTCTTATGAAATCAAAAAATACATTGATACTCATTAATGCAAATTCATTATTTAACATCAATATCAGTAATCTTCAAGGTCTGAAATGAGAAAGATACTGACTTTTTAAAATTTTAACAGTGCACTTCTTAGGCTTTCATTACCAGCTCTAAAGAACTTTTTGGAATAATTCCATATTCCATAGTGTGTGGTTTATGAGTTGTGGGTTTCATCACTAACCCAGTAACCATGAGAAAAGTCTCTCTCCCTCCCTCCCTCCCTCCCTCTCTCTCTCTCTCTCTCTCTCTCTCTCTCTCTCTCTCTCTCTCTCTTAGGCCAGTAGCAATGTTGTGTTCATAGTCTATTTTCCAAAAGACCATCAATAAAAAAGAGAGTATGTTTAAATTGAAATGGAACTTCAAGAACTTGAACTTAGGTACTTCAATGCCACTGATAACTTAGGTTTTACCACCAAATGCTATTAATATTAAATCATTTTGAAACTCTTGGATGAAAGGTGCTATGTAAATGTAAATACAAAGGATTCTTTTTTTTTTTTTTTTTTTTTTTTTTGAGACGGAGTTTTGCTCTTGTTACCCAGGCTGGAGTGCAATGGCGCGATCTCAGCTCACCGCAATCTCCGCCTCCCGGGTTCAGGCAATTCTCCTGCCTCAGCCTCCTGAGTAGCTGGGATTACAGGCACGCGCCACCATGCCCAGCTAATTTTTTGTAGTTTTAGTAGAGACGGGGTTTCACCATGTTGACCAGGATGGTCTCGATCTCTGGACCTCGTGATCCACCCGCCTCGGCCTCCCAAAGTGCTGGGATTACAGGCGTGAGCCACCGCGCCCGGCCAATACAAAGAATTCTTACTAATATACAAATAATGTACAACAGAAATATTTAAAACCTGTTCTGTAGACTCTGAAACATCTCTGTCTGTCATAACTCCCTGGATTCATTGGTAATAGGTGTCAGAGCAGTCTAAAGACACTTGCTTGTCAAAAATGTACATCCATTTTTAGGTAGATAAAAGTAAACACAGAAATTATGTTAGGGCTAAATACAGTAAGTGGGTAACTTAGATTTATATTGGCTAGCATCTAATTTGCACAACTAGAATACATCCCAGAACAATTACTGAAAAGCTGAAATTTAATGAGTGGTGAGGTAGCGCAATGAGGGTGAATGATATCACAGCTTGACCTCTCCAGAACACTAATATCCCAAAACAGAGAACATGCTGGGTTAAGCACATTAGTGCTTCAAGCAGAAAATGCTGAAGAACAGCCTGTAAAGTAGGCTGACCCTGAGAAGGGACAATTAAAGAGACAACCAAGGGAACACATTAAGACTAGAAAAATATGAATAATCTCAATTATATTCTTCACAATTTTCATACCATTTCAAGAAAGGATTTGATAGTAGTAACCACATGAATATTTTACTTTCTCCAATATACCTTGAGAAACAAATTTTGTAGGAAGCCACTCTTTTTCCTTAAACTTCTGCCAAACAATAATAAAGCCAACTAGAAACTAATTGGAGCCATTTTCATTTTCCTAACTGGGGCCTGACATGCTTTAATTATCTGGCTCTATTCTAAATCAACACCTAAACCCCTAAGGAAACTGAAGAATCAATATACAGGGTAATACCTTTGGCGCAGAGCTCCAATAATGTGCTTCAGATCTGGCCATGTGGAAATGCTTTTGTCCAAATTTTTGAATTGGTGGTTACCAAAGAGTTCACAAAACAGGTTTGTATGTAGCACCTTTCATGCAAGGCATGTTAAAAGCCTCTTTTAAAATCACTGTGCATATTATAGAATTGTAGCCATCTCACAATGAAGTACTACAGCCTGTGCTGTCTTAATGGTTTATGTCAGGAAATGAAAAAGATACTGTACCAAATCTGGAATTACAATGGGGAGTAATAATGTATGCTAAATGACTTTTGTATCTTACTTTTTGTGAGAAAAGTGAATTTTTGTGTTTTTCTTTTCAGCTACACTTAGTCCTGAGATGTATTTTTTTCTTTAATTCTTGAATTAATACAAAAGGAGCCCATTTTATATATAAACCTTGATATACATGTTGAGATATTTGGACAATGAAAATGCCTTAAAAGGAATGCATATGGATAAAGTTGCACTTACAACACCCTTCAACAAAATCTGATTTTAAATTGTCTTTTTCTTTTCTATTAAGGGTTTTCTTTTTCAGTGTCTACCATTGTACTTATAACTGTTATTAAATACCATATCAAATAATATAAAAGCTGTAACATTTCCTTTAAAAACTAATGCTAATAAGGGATTTAGAGTTGAATGGCAAAATGTTTATTACTTAGCAATACCTGATGTCAGTCACAGGCATCCAACTCATGACAAGAGACATCACTGTTTGATTGTTTTTTAAAAAACATTTTTCATTTTGTTTCTCCTTCAAAAATTAAGTTGGATTAACATTCACGTATCAAACTAATATAAAAAAATAAAAACAAGAGGTGATTTTTGTAACAAGTGGTTAGTAATCATTTAAAAATGATACGATTTTAGCCAAGTGTTATTTTATTCCTTTCCCTTTTTGCTAGAGAATTATTGTCAGATATAACCCATAACCTTGTTTAGTTGATTCTGTTGTAATCCATTTGGGATAAGTATTAGAGGTTTGGAGAGAGTCTGTCAATTTTATCAATCCCAAAATAGGTTTAAACATAATCTTAACAGACTGCACAAATTAATCTCTTATTCTCACTTATAGACTTTGGGAGACAAAGCAACTGGCCTTGTCCTTGGGCAAGTCAGTTTTTCCTGGCCTGTTTTCGCCATGGGCAAGGTGGGGAGGGCAAGGTGGGCATGGTGGCGGGAGCCTGTAATCCCAGCTACTCAGGAGGCTGAGACAGGAGAATTGCTTGAACCCAGCAGGCGGAGGTTGCAGTGAGCAAAGATAGAGCCACTGGACTCCAGCCTGAGTGACAGAGCAAAGACTCTCAAGGGGAAAAAAAAAAAGGTGAGGAGGGTAATTAGACCAATTAAGCACCTTGGTGCTTAATTTCTGTGTATTCATTAGTACCTTCATTTCATATGCAAAGCAGCCTAAAATGTCTACTTTGTGTTAGAAATAGAATACAGAGTATGTAAAAACTAATAAGAACCTTAGAATAAAGTTATCATTACTTTTATTTTGCCTTTTAGTAATACAACTTGGTACAAATTAAGTATAATATTTCTACCAGATGGAAACTATTTTTTGAATGATCAAACTTAGGAAAATGTGGTTCTTTAAAGAATATCCCATTTCAGAAAAAACAAAAACAGAAAAGACAATCCCATTTGATTGTACCAGAAGGAAATAGTAGAATTTTCATGACCACAAGAAGAGGAATAGCTAACATCAGATCCTCACTCCACTAATGAAGGATTTTGTTTAAGTGAGGTTTAAAAAATGTCAACTGGGCCAGGCGTGGCAGATCACCTGAGGTCAAAAGTTCTAGATCAATCTGGCCAACATGTTGAAACCCCATCCCTACTAAAAACACAAAAATTAGCCAGGCGTGGTGGCAGGCACCTGTAATCCCAGCTACTCAGGAGGCTGAGGTAGGAGAATCGCTTGAACCCAGGAGGCAGAAGTTACAGTGAGCAGGGATAGTACCACTGCACTCCAGCCTAGTGAGAGCAAGACTCTGTCTCAAAAAAAAAAAAAAAAATCCATTTTTTTTTTGTTTTTGAACTGGCTTTTATGTAACAGATGACTCCAGATTTTCCTGCAGTTTTATACTCTCAGATGACACACTGAAAGGGGATGAGTAAAACTTCATTGTAGCCTGGAGGACAGAAGAAACTTGGACAAGTATGTTCACTTTTTTTTTTTTTTGAGATGGATTCTCGCTCCGTCACCCAGGCTGGAGTGCAGTGGGCACGATCTCGGCTCACCATAACCTCCAACTCCAGGGTTCAAGCGATCATCCTGTTTCAGCCTCCAGAGTAGCTGGGATTACAGGGATGTGCCACTACACCTGGCTAATTGCATGTTCATATTTATAACCTCTGAACAAAGACTAAATAAATCCTTTTTTGGGGGTGGGGAGATAGGGTCTCACCCTCTCACTGTGGCTGGAGTGTAGTGCCAGGATCACTGCCCACTGCAGCCTGGACTTCCTGGGCTCAGGTAATCCTCCCACTTCAGCCTCCCAAGTAGCTGGGACTACAGGTGCAGACCATTGTGCACAGCTATTTTTACGTGTTTTGTAGCAACAGGGTTTCAGCATGTTGCCCAAGCCAGTCTTGAAGTCCTGGGCTCAAGCAATCTTCCCCCACCCTTGGCCTCCCAAAGTGCTAGGATTATAGGCATAACCACCACACCTGGCCTCAAATCCTTAATAGCATAATGTATATTCCACTGCTACATTGTTGAATGTAATATTTTGTTAAGACTAGTTAAGTGTAGTAGTAGAAAGGGAGGAAAGAGTAGAACAAGGAACTTGACCACTCCAGCCTATAAATGTAACTTTTTTTTTTGAGACAGGGTCTTACTCTTGTCACCCAAGCTGGAGTGCAGTGCACAGTGGCATAGTCTCGGCTCACTGCAACCTCTGCCTCCTGGATTCAAGCCATTTTCCTGCCTCAGCCTCCCAAGTAGCTGGGACTACAGGCACATATCACCATGCCTGGCTAATTTTTGTATTTTAAGTAAGAGACTGGGTTTCGCCATGTTGGCCTCGAACTCCTGATGTCGGGTGATACACCCACCTCAGCCTCCCAAAGTGCTAGGATTACAGGCGTGAGCCACCACACCTGGCCTGTAACTTTAATTGTACAATGATTATGATATAACATATTCCACCCCTAGCTGTTTTTCTGGATTAAAATTTAGTAAAGATATATTTTCATAGAAAGTTGATTATTTTTCACTGAAAAAAATCACTAGTTTATAAACAAACTCCAATAATGGAAAGTGTTTACCTTTGCCCCCATGTTTAATTATCTTGCTGTGGAGTTATTCTTTAATCTCCATTTCCCAAAAATAACCACTATCAAGACTTTGTCTTTTAAGAAACAGTCTCACAGTCACCCAGGCTGCAGTGTAGTGCTGTGATCTTAGCTCACTGTAGCCTTGAATTCCTGGGCTTAAGTGATCCAGCTTCCCAGTATGCTAAGACTACACAAGTGAACCACCACACTTGGCTCATTTTTCAATTTTTTGTAAAGATGGGGGTCTCTCACTTTGTTACCCAAGCTGGTCTGGATCCTGGCCTCAACTGATCCTCCTGCCTCCGCCTCCCAAAGCAGAGATTACAGGTGGGAGCCTCTGCACCTGGCCTCAACAATATATTCCTGTATTCCTTTTGATTTTTTCCCCGTATTATGTACACTTATAATTTTATACATACTGTTTTACAACTTGCTTTTTTCAAGTAAAATAACACCCTAAAGATGTAAGCTAGTGGCCAGGCATGGTGGCTGAAGCCTGTAATCCCAGCCCTTTGGGTGGCGAAGACGGGTGGATCACGAGGTCAAGAGATAGAGACAATCCTGGCCAACATGGTGAAACCCATTCTCTACTAAAAATATAAGAATTAGCCCAGCATGGTAGCAGGTGCCTATAATCCCAACTACTAAGGAGGCTGAGATGGGAGAATGGCTTGGTTGCAAGGAGCCAAGATCGCACCACCGCACTCCAGCCTGGACAAGAGTGAAACTCTGTCTCAAAAGGAGCTCTTTTAAGATGAAATACTATATTCCTCCTAAAGCGGTTTAGTCACCAAACTAAGGATACCAAATATTCTTACACTTACAATGCTTTTTATAAATTATAAATAAGAAAAACAGCTTTTAGAAAGAAATTTATTCTAAACATTGGCCCAACTAGTTGTTTTTATCAAAATTTAGTATTATGGGATCATGTCCTGTCTTCTTCACAAATGTGAGAAAGTCTTCAGGGCTCAATCCCATGGTTGCAGCATTGGTCATTGGATGAAAGTACACCTTTTCATGTCCACCTTCCAGAAAAGCAGAATCCAGAACAAACTTCACATCTCCAGCATCACAGAAAAGTGCCAAGGGTGTGGCACAGCCTTGACCAACTTTGAGTTTTTCTAGCATGGCTGTTTCATCAGCAAACCGCAGATTTCCACTCCCAACACCTAACTGCTTGGCAAGCTCATTTAAATTAATTTGTCTATCATGAAGAACTGTCACCAGCCAGTAACTCTTTTTCTTTTTGTCTTTAAGAAATAAGTTCTTACTATGTGCTCCTTTCAAATGCTGGATATGAGGCATCATTTCTTCAACTGTAAACACCTATAATATATCACATAAGTTTAAAAATAAGTAATATGCAGGTATACATATACACACATTGATACATATTTTGCTTGCTGGGTGAAAACAGCAAGGTTAGGGAGTGCTCATTACCCTGAATTTCACTGGTAGAGACCCATCTCCAGCCCGTTACCAAATAATTATAAGCCCATGCCATCTCATTACCTCATCTCAGGACCTCAGGCAGTTTCTTCGGCTAGTTTTCTATTCACATGTATTGGCCAAGTCCTCATATTCCTCAGCAGCTTTTTGTTATTTTTGAATTTAAGCTTTTGGTTCTCAAAGTTTACAGCAGTTCTAGACTCCTATTCCTTAGCATTCCATTACATCCAGACCATGTGACAACCTCCATTTTACAAATAACCACAAAGAAGGTGAGTGGGCAGTCAGTAAGAACCCAGACTAAACATCAGAAAATCTGGCATATGCACACATAAAGAAGTGGAATATATGACTATATGGGACGGAGGAAGGTTAGAGAAAATGATTACAGTCTTGATGTTATATTTGTGAAGGTGAGGAATACTAATATGTTTCTCTACTCTTTGTAGATCACCATATTTAGCCATTATCAACTGTTAACCCAAGTTACCTTGGGTAAACTTCATGTCCTTGCACCACTCAAGTTGCACATTGGTTCTGTAAAATATTTGGAAGTGGCCCAGGGAGGTGGCTCACTGGGAGGCTAAGGTGGGAGAATCACCTGAGGTCAGAAATTCGAGACCAGCTATGCCAACATGGCAAAGCCCTGTCTCTCCCAAAAATACAAAAATTAGCCAAGCGTAGTGGCACGTGCCTGTAGTCCCAGCTACTCGGGAGGCGGAGGCAGGAGAATCGCTTGAACCCTGGAGGCAGAAGTTGCAGTGTGCAGAGATTGTGCTACTGCACTCCAGCCTAGGACACAGAGTGAGACTCTCTAATATTTGCAAGACTTCCCGTCAATACACAACAAATGTTACCATTTATGAAAACATAGGCATGTATATTTTGGTAAGCACTTTTTGGGATAGTGATGGTTTCTGCCATGCTGCATGCTTTGTGATCAACCTGACCACGGCAGAAAAAATATCACTCTGAACCTCAGTGTCCTGCTGTATGTATGGTGCCTGATACGTTGTACCTACTAAACACACTATTAACCACTTGCTTATTTTATCTACACAAAAAGTGGACAAACTGACCTGACCAACACCCCAGACCGATTTAAGATGCACAGTCCTCCGTCGTGCTAGTTCTCAACACGAAAATGTAAGCAAATCACTCCCCAGAGGAAAGGTTTCCTTGCAGTGACCTCATGGTCCCAAGACGGAAGGTCTCTGCTGTCCCTGCAGGGGTCCCTTTCGTATTTTGAGACCGGGGAAATATTCCAGGAGCGACGTTCTCACGGTACATTAATCCCGGGACACCTGATCTTAGCGGCCTTGCCCGACGGAAGTGCAGCACAACCCACCACGCTCCGGCCGAGCCCGTCTCGGCGGTCACCCCTAGGGGCCTCACCTCGGGGTGCTCCACGACCTCGGTGTGGATGGCCAGAGCACCGAGCTGCTGCTCGAGCGCCGCCCTCAGCTCTGCGCCCGCCATGCCGCCGCTGTCGTGGCAATGGGCTGAAAAACTGGGCGCGGCTTTCTGCGGCTGCGCAGACCGCAGCCCAAGGCGGAACTGCTCCGAGGTATCTCGGCCGACGCCAGAAACCCAGTTCTGCTGCCTGCTGGAGGCGGGGCCGCCCTGTCCTAGCTCTTCGCCCGCTGGTCCCTGAACGTCGTCGGCTGAGGGCTCAGGATTATGAAGGCCTGCGGGAGCTCTCATCTGGGGCCTAGCTGTGGGGCGGCGCCTGCGATCTCACAGTCCTCCCCGATCCCACTTCAGGTTTCCTAGATAAGCATATCTTCTGTTGGGGTTTGGGGGGCAGAAGGAGGTCAGGTGAGCAAGACTTGCCCTGAGCTGTTCTTTAAATCAGTCTTAATTTTTTAGGTCTACCTACATCACTAAATTAATGAATACAGTCATATGTTTCGTTGGGTTTTTCGTTTGTTTTGAGACAGTCTCATTCTTGTCACCCAGGCTGGAGTGCAGTGGCGCAACCTCGGCTTACTGCAACCTCCACCTCTCTGGTTCAAGCGATTCTCCCGCCTCAGCCTCCCAGGTAGCTGGGATTACAGGTGCTTGCCACCTCACCCTGCTGATTTTTGTACTTTTGGTACACATGGGGTTTCACCATGTTGGCCAGGCTGGTTTTGAACTCCTGCCCTCAGGTGATCCACCCGCCTCGGCCTCCCAAAGTGCTGGGATTACAGGCGAGAGCCACCGCACCTGGCCATATATTCAGTATTATAACACGGTCTGCAGGTGGTTCTCACAGCAACCTAAGGAAACTGACTTCCATACAAAAGTACCGTAACAGAGATTTTTTTCCCACTTTGCATATATGGACAAGGGACATTGTAAGTTGTGCATTTCAGAGTGATTGGTTTGACTGGATTAAGTTTATGGGAACTACTTTGAAATTTCTGTCCTAGTCTTAGTGGCCAAGAGAAATTTCCTGTGATTTTAATGCCTTAATTAACTTGCAAGTGAAATATATTTGCCATAAATTTTAATAAAAATATTAAGTTGAGATCAGAAATCACATATTATTCCTCTATCCTTGCTGGCTGGATTTATGATGGTAAATGATTTGAGTAAATGTCAATAAACATATTTTGGAATGTGTTGGCTATAAGAACAAAAAGGGTCAGTTTAATTAAACTCATATTCAGTATTTTTCCCAAACAAAAAAGTGTCTTTTTTTTTAACAAATTGTATGCATTATATAAATAAATAAATGTTATAATATTGCACTTTAAAATAAAGATAAGTTAATGACATATATATTGTTAAAAAATTAGATATATATGAAGACATAAAAATTTAAATCACAGGTATATACAAATATTCTCATTTCACACATAATATATACACTCTAATGCTGTTTCTTTCTAAAAGATTGTTTTGTTTTGTTTGTTTTGAGACAAGGTCTTGCTCCGTGTTGCCCAGGCTGGAGTGCAGGGTTGTGATCACAGCTTACTGCAGCCTTAATCTCCTGGGCTCAAGCAATTCTCCCACCTCAGCCTCCCAAGTATACTACAGGCACATACCACTGCACTCAGCTAATTTTGTATATTTTTAGTTTTTGTAGAGAAGGGGATCTCCCTATGTTGTTCAGGCTGGTAATGCTATTGATTTCTAATTTTTCTGATCAAGACAGAATTATATAATACAATATTTTATGATCTGCTTTTCTTTTTTCATCTAATAGTCTATGTCAATACAGCTACCTTATTACTTATAATGGTTGTATAGAATTTCATTTATGTTCCCAACTCCAGATTTGGAAATAGCCAATGTTCAATGACCTAAATGTTAGTCATTTCCAAATTTTCCATATAATTACAAATAATGCTATGATAATATGTGTATTTCTCTAGATATATATATATATATATGCATAATTGTTTCATGTTTTCCTTAGAATAAATATCAATAATATGCAAAGTTACACAGTTTACACGTTTTTTGTTGGTTTGTTGTTTTGTTTTGTGAGACAGGGTCTGGCTCTGTCACCCAGGCTGTATTGCAGTGGCACAATCTCAGCTCACTGCAACCTCAGCCTCCTAGGCAATCCTCACCTCAGCTTCCCAAGTAGATGAGACTACAGGTACATGCCACCACACCCAGCTAATTTTTGTATTTTTAGTAGAGACATGGTTTTGCCATTTTGGCCAGGCTAGCCTTGAACTCCTGGCCTCAAGTGATCCTTCAGCCTTGGCCTCCCAAAGTGCAGGATTACAGGCATGAGCCACTGCACCTGGTCAATTTCCATTATATACTGTTAAAAAGACAAAAGGCAGCATTTATTGTATGAATCCTATTTATAAAATATTGTATCCATATGTATATTTATTATCATTATTATTGAGACAGAGTCTTGCCTTGTTGCCCAGGCTAGAGGGCAGTGGCACAATCTCAGCTCACTGCAACCTCTGCCTCCTGGGTTCAAGTGATTCTCCTGCCTTGACCTCCAGAGTAGCTGGGATTATAGGCACCTGTCACCATGCCTGGCTAATTTTTGTATGTTTAGTAGAAAGGGGGTTTCACTGTGTTGGCCAGGCTGGTTTTGAACTCCTGACCTCAGGTGATCCACCCACCTCCACCTTCCAAAGTGCTGGGATTACAGGCTTGAGCCACCAATATACATTATATGTGTATGTGTATTTATGCGTGTTTTAGGATTTCCTCCCTTCCTTCCTTCCCTCCCTCCCTCCCTCCCTTCCTTGCTTCCTTCCTTCCCTCCCTCCCTCCCTCCCTTCCTTGCTTCCTTCCTTTTAGAGACAGGGTCTCACTCTCACTCAGGCTGGAGTGCAGTGGCACGATCATAGCTCACTGTAAGGTCGAATTCCTGGGTTCAAGTGATCCTCCCACCTTGGCCTTCAGAGTAGCATACAACTACAGCTGCGCACCACCATGCCCGGATAGTTTTTTACTTTTTGTAGAGAAGGGTCTTGCCATGCTGCCTAGGTCTCAAACTCCTGGCCTGAAGCAATCCTTTGGCCTCAGCCTCCCAAAGTGCTGGTATTACAGGTATGAGCCACTATGCCTGGACCTTTCTTTTTTAAATCAATCTTGTAATTTTGGAATAATTTTAGATTACAGAAAAGTTGCTAAGATAGTGGAGAGTTCCCAAATGCCCTTTACCCAATTTTGTTAACATCTTACATTAACCATGATACACTCGTGAAAATAAAGAAATTAACATTGGGGTATTACTATTAACTAAGCTACAGACATTATTCAAATTTTACCAGTTTTCCCACTGATGTGCTTTTCTGTTACAGGATTCTATTCAGGATACCATATTGCATTGAGTTTTCACGTCTCCTTAGTCTCTTCTGATCTGTAACAGTTTCTGAGTCCTTTCTTGGTTTTCTTAACCTTGACAGTTTTGAAGAATACTGGTCAGGTATTTTGTAGAAGGCTCTTTAATTTGGGTTTGTCTGATGTTTTCCCCATGATTACAGTAGGGTTCTGGGTTTCTGAAAGGTATATTACAGGGGTAAAGTGTCCTCATCACATCATTTCAGGGGGGGTCCATGATATTAACACGACATGCAGGTGATGTTCACCTTGATCACTTGGTTAATGCATTGTCTGCCAGGTTTCTCCACTGTAGTTACTTTATTTCCCCTTTATATACTGTGTTCTTTTTTTTTTTTTTTTTTTTTTTTTTTAGACAGAATCTCACTCTGCCAGGCTGGAGTGCAATGGCGTGATCTTGGCTCACTGCAACCTCTGCCTCCCACGTTCAAGTGATTCTCCTGCCTCAGCCTCCTGAGTAGCTGGGATTATACGCAGCGCCACCACACCCGGCTAATTTTTCTATGTTTAGTAAAGATGGGGTTTCACCATGTTGGTCAGGCTGGTCTCGAACTCCTGACCATTGAACCGCCTGCCTCAGCCTCCCAAAGTTCCGGGATTACAGGTGTGAGCCACTGCGCCCAGCCTCCATACTGTATTCTCTAGAAGTAAGTTAGTAAGTCCAGGCCACACTAAGGTGGAGAGGAATTAATCTTCACTTCTTAGTGAAGGTTTTATATATGCATATAAAGGTAATAACCGGTTAACCGGTCATACTGAATATAATATCCTTCAAATAAAACCATAAAATGGGTGAACACATTGCTTGCTTGCCTGGGAAAACACTGGTTTCATGCAATGTGAACGAAACCCACATAATAGACAACAACCGGGGTAAGCAGAGAAAGAGCATGTTTTTGAATATATATATATATGTAATTTTGAATTCTTCTGTAAGGAAGATTTCTTCCTTCTCTATTTATTTATTCGATTATTATTTATATCAGTATGAACACAGTAAACTTAGTTGATATTCTGGGTTATAAGCCAGTACTATGTTACTTTGCTGCTCAAACATTTCCAGCTTTGGCCATTGGGAGCTCTTTAGGGTTGGCTTCTCTGTTCCTTTAACTGTTTTCATTCCCTCTTTCTCTCTCTCTTTTTTTGTCACTTTCTTTCTGTATTTTGGTATATTGCTTGAATTTTCTTTTTCTTTTTTTTAGACAGAGTTTTGCTCTTGTTGCCCAGACTGGAGTGCAAAGGCACAAACTCGGCTTGCTGCAACCTCCGCCTCCAAGGTTCAAGCAATTCTGCCTCAGCCTCCTGAGTAGCTGGGATTACAGGCGCCCTGCCACCACGCGTGGCTAATTTTTTGTACTTTCAGTAGAGACCGGGTTTCACCATGTTGGGCAGGCTGGTCTCAAACTCCTGACCTCAGGTGATGTACCCACCTTGGCCTCCGAAAATGCTGGGATTACAGGTGTAAACTACCGCGCCCGGTCTATTGCTTGAATTTTCTACATTAGCATGATTAGAAAATCGTTTATGATTAGAAAATTAGAGGAACATAAATGCATATATGATTATTTTCACTTTAATATTGTGGAAAAAAGATCTGGCAACTATTCTGATAGTCTACCAACCAACTTCTGCTTGTTTCTCAACTGCCTTGCAAGGCAAGTGAGAGAGCAGAGAACTACTTCTCGCAGAAATTAAACTTCAGTAGCTATCTGTGAGTAGTAGGTAAAATGATAGTAATTGGAATAAACTTCAATAGTTTTCAAGTGTTGTGCATGTTAAATACAGTTAAAAAAAAATTCCAGGCCGGGCACGGTGGTTCATGCCTGGAATCCTAGCACTTTGGGAGGCTGAGGCAGGTGAATCACTTGAGGTCAGGAGTTCAAAACCAGCCAGGCCAACATGGTAAAACCCCGTCTCTACTAAAAATACAAAACAAAACAAAAATTAGCTGGGCATGGGGGTGGATGCCTGAAATCCCAGCTTCTCAGGAGGCTGATGCAGGAGAATCCCTTGAACCTGGGAGGCAGAGGATGCAGTGAGCTGAGATGGCGCCATTGCACTGCAGCCTGGGTAACAGCTCGAGATTCCATCTCAAAAAAAAAAAAAAAAAAATTTTTTTCCCGGAGTGGGGTTTGTATTC